CACACACACACACGCACACTCACACATACACACACACACATGCACACACACACATGCACACGCACGCACACACGCACACACACGCACACACGCACACACACACACACAAAAGCGCGCGCACACACACTCGCACTCGCACACACACAGGCACACACACACACGTGCACACACACACCACACACACACACACACACGCGCACACACACACACACACAAACTCACACACACACACACGCGCACACACACACATACACGCACACATATGCACACATGCACATGCGCGCACGCATGCACACACACACGCACAGGCACATGCACATACAAAAGCGTGCACACACACACACACCCGCACACACACGCACACAGACATACATACACACATACGTGCACACACACACTTGCGCGCACACACACACGCACACACACACACACTCGCACTCGCACACACACACAGGCACACACACACACCACACACACATGCACACACACACGCGCGCGCGCACACACATACACACACACACACTCACACACACTGACACACACACATACACACAAACGCACGTGCACACACACATAAACACAAACACACACACACAAACAAACGCACACACACACACACTCTCCTCCAGTGAGTTGTTTAATTGTCCACCACCATTTGCGACTGGATGTGGCAGGACTGCAGAGCTTAGATCTGATCCGTTGGTTGTGAGATGGCTTAGATGTGTCTTTAATTGCTGCTTATGTTTTTTGACGTGCAAGTAGTCCTTCACAGGGTTGACACCTCATTTGTAGGTGTGTCTGCCCAGACCCATCCCATAAGGAGGAGCCAGTACAGCATGTAAACGCCGCTTATTGCTCTGACTCATCTTGTGTACCTGAAAATGGGATTCCGGCATGACCAGTTTATTTATTTCCAAGTATTAATGGGGTTTTCCTCTGAGATTTTACGCAGGATCTTTGTAGAGGAAATGTTTGTTGTACGAGAAATTAGGAGTTTGAGATGAATAAACTGCGAGAAAAAAATGCACAGGTGAGAAGGAGACAACACATTGTGGAGCTGGAGGAACACAACCCAAACTGTCGACTTTCCTGCTCCTCTGATGCTGCCTGGCCTGCCGTGTTCCTCCAGTTCCACACTGTGTTATCTCTGACTCCAGCATCGGCAGTTCTTACTATCCCCCAGGTGAGAAGGAAGCAGAATTCCAGGATCTTGGTGGTCCGGGGAATTGTTTATGCTTCCATTCTGTTTGTGCTTTGAAGGACATGGCTGATCTGCTACAGGAGCTTCATGGAGGGTCTCCTGAATACAATAACAAAGAAGATCACAAAGTAATCAATCCCTGAGAGATTCCCAATGGAATCAATTGGTTCCAAATCGTTATTTGTTCAAAATTCCACCTCAGTGTAATATTTCAGCCTGTGAAGAACTTTCAACCTACTCCCTCTTCAGAGCAAAGTGCTGAGGTAGGGACATAGGATGAGAGCGTAAGGGATCAATGGAAGTCCTATCTCATATGTCACCTTCAATTGAATTCCTGCAAAACCAAAGCATATCAGTTAGTCCTTTGAAACAAATGGTCTTCGTCGAGTGTCTAGAACCCTCATATCCTTGTGTTGTATAAATTTTTATTTCTGCTTAACTAATAATGAGACTTGACTCCAGCTCCCGTTCGAAGCAGTTTATTTTCTTACTTGGTACCAAGGAGAGTGAGTGTCGATCTCCACCGACACCCGACTCTGCTAATACAGAGTATAACAATCTCCTTTATACCATTAACTTCAGAGCAGGGTGTTCCCGTGACATCTTGTGTTTGTCGATTCATTCATTGTAAGTTTAAAGAAAACAGACGCTGCTCGAGGTAACAGGAATGCTGTCTTACAGATACCTTAATAATTACTTCTTCAAAAGACATTCGGCATGCAGCTAGCATAGGGAGTGATATACAGTTTGATTGAAGCTCTAGCTTATCAGTAACTAGGCTCCACGGGGATACAAGGGACATCTCTAATTCAGCCTAAAACCTTGGTATAGTGACAATATATCAAAAGATCCTTCCCTACCTCTAGCTAAGATAACATGCACATAGCGATAACACAGTCTGAGTAACTACCTCCCGACTTCTACCAAGCTCCTTAAAATCCCGCATGCTAACTAATTAAAATTCTTTCTCTATGCCATCAGTTTCTCCCAAGGCTGCCTTTTCTGTCTTGGCCTAAATTCCCATCTACCCTTGCAATGTAATTTCT